TTTTTTTGCTTCTTGCCGCCTGCCTATCATCTCACACCCCCCCCCCCCCCCCCCCCCCCACACACACACACACACAGGTGAGCCATTACCTGGAACAGGCCCGTGACCCCGCACTCAACCTCTGTCCAATCAGCAGCCCTCGTCCTAACATCACAGCCTATCAGCAAGGTAAGCCCCGCCCCCTCTGATTCAAATGTAATATAATACAAGACAACATGTTAAAGTATTGTATAATATAATATGTTATATTATATAACATATTAAGGGAAGTTAAAGTCTTATTATCGCGTTAACGCAATAATTAATTAACGCCGACAATTATGTAATAGCGCGTTAACACAGTTTTTATTCATTATTATTTGTAAAGTGCGTTGCTCACTGGCAGCGCTGGAGGACGTCTTCACACTACGTGGATGCAGCGTGTGGGAGAAGTTTAGATAAACTCAAGCAACACAAGCTAACAGCACTAAACACAATACAATGTGGCGATGTCTCTTTAAAGGAAACTCTCTGGCGTCCCGTAAGAAGCTCCTCCCCCTTGTTAAGGACTTCATGAAGGAGCGGGACGGAGACGGTTGCCTGGGAGACATGGAGGAGGAGGAGGAGGAGTCCCGGTTCCCCCCCACCCCGATGAACAGTCTGGTGGAGGGCTGTCCCCTGGACGGAGGTCTGCCGCACATCAGCGCTCTGGACCTGGAGGAGAAGTTCAGCAAGATGGCCGACAGAAGAGGAAACTGACCTCTGACCTCTCATCTGTCAATCAGGACGTCTGTCTGTCAGACGATGAAGGTACCACAGACACAGAAGACACCAAAAAACAATCAAATCACCTGGTTTTATTCTGAAAAATCACCTGGACTAACTTCCCGAGAGGAGCAGCTTTCAGTCCTTCAAAATAAAATGTCACATCCTTTGTTGTGTTTACACAGAATGTGTTTTCAGTGTAAAAGTGACCTCTGTTACGTCCACACGGGGGCGCCAACGCCATTCACAGCTGCAGCTAATTCATTTTATTAATATCATTATTTTAATGTATCAATTATCTGTTGAATTCATTTCTTTCATTTACTCAGAAAACTGAAGAAATAACCACAAAACTTAATTTAGATGGAATACTTCTGTCATTAAAATAATATCAGATTCATTTTCATTTGATCAACTTATTGATTAATCGGCTATTTGAGAACTGATGAAATATAAAAGTTTAACGTTTATAATTAGTGCTGGGCAAGTTAACGCGTTATTATCGCGTTGACGCATTAATTAACGCCGACAATTATTTTATAGCGCGTTAACGCATTTTTTTATTTTGAAAGTCCGTTGCTCACTGGCAGCAGTGGAGGAATGGAGACTACTGGACATCGCTGCGGTAAAGTCAGCAG